CCGCCCAGCACCTGCTGCCCTCGCCCAGCCCGGGCCCCGGCTCCGCTGCCATGCGGCTGGCGCTGCTCTGGGCCCTGGGGCTCCTGGGCGCGGGCAGCCCTCTGCCCTCCCGGCCGCTCCCAAACATAAGTGAGTACCCGGCCGGGAGTGGGCGGGGGTGGGAGTCTGGGGACTGGAGGAGGCGTGGGGACGTCGGCAGGCTTCGGGGTAGCCGCGTCCGGAGACCCTGAGAAACCCCAACCAGAATGCGGCCCGCACTGGTCTGCTGTCCCGGGCCGAGGGCCAGGAGACTGGACGATGGAGAGGAGAGTGAAGGAGGGGGATGCCGACGCCTGGCGCGAACGCTCTCTGCACAGATGCTTTTGGACTCGGGTACCAGGCACCGAGGGGCCAGGCCCAGCGCCCCAGCATCGTGGGAGAGGGTCACTGTTCCTGAGGACTGACGTCTTCGCCCCTCTGGGGCCTAGCTGGCGTTCCACCCGGTGCCAGGGCCCGAGTGGGTACGACCCGTAGGGTTTGGCGAGGAGGATTCTTTCTGGTCTCTCATCCCAGGCCTGAGCGGCCAGGCACCACTCATCCTGGTGCTGATGCCACCAGAAACCAGGCTGAGCGGGAGCTGCCGGGAGAGAGGAGAACTGGCCGGGAGAGATTGGGACACCAACTCCTCCTTGGAACTTTCACTTCCCGCCGCTGTCTTGGGCAGGGCCGAGGAGGGGTGGAGTGTGGAGTGTCCGGAGGAGAAGGGCATTTGTGGGGAGGGGGTGTTCAGAGAGGAAGCGGAGACTGTGGGGAGCGGGTGTGCCTGACCGGGCCTGAGGGGTGTTTAGGGAGGAGTGTGTTTGCACTGCTCACCCAGAAATGGGCGTCGCCACCATCACCCAAGTGAAGGAAGGGGAGGGTGAGTGGGCACCGGGCCACAAGACTTGGCCGAGTCCGGAGAAGGGGGCGTTCCTGGGGGAGGGGTTGACTGGGAGGGAGTGGAACAGGGGGAGGGCTCCTGAACCTAGCACCGGCTTGAGGGGGACAGGGAAGGACCACAGACTGGGCTAGCTGACCTTACTATTTCTCTCCGGATTTGTGGATAGGCTGGTGGGATGAAAGCAATAAACTGGAAAGACAGCCTCACTCCCCCTAGTATTCTCCACTAAGTCCCAGATGCACTGAAGGTGTCTGTCAGGTGAAAAGGGCTTTGATGTTCTGGGAGCAGTGGATCAGAAGGCACCAGCCATCCCTAGCCCTGTTGTTGATTCTTCGGTATTCTCTCCGGGTGTCCTGGGTACCCTGCAGATGGCACCGAGGAGGCACAGACAAGACCAGAGGGGGCTCCCAGGGGGATCTTGGATCCCCAGACTCTTCAGGACAACTTTGCTCTCAGCTTAGTGGAGGTGCTTCAGGTGAGCCTCCCTGTGCCCTCTGGTAAAGAAATACACCACCCAGCATCCCACTTGCCACATAATCAGGTGTCTTAAGGCAAAACCCGACTGAGGAGTGGCACAGCCCAACACCTGGCTTCACTTATCTCCCTCTCCCTTCTCCTCACACACATCTGTGTGCTTCAGCCCTGCCTAATGCATCTATTGCCACTGGGGAAATTCTGAGGTCAAACTGCTTTCTCTTTCTCCGGTTTTCTCAGTAGGTGGACTTGGAGAGGGTCAATGCCTAACCAAATGATCCCCCCCGCCCCCTGCCACCACCCCCCTTTCCCCAATTCTAAAGCTGAGTCAGAGGAAGGGCTGGGGCCTCACTGGGTCCTCCGTGAGCTTCCTCTCTGGACAGGAAGCTGAGAAGGGGAGGCTCAGATACCTTCCTTGACCTCCCCACACAACCCCCCAGAACAATGCCCCAGGCCAGGCAGGGCTTCCTGGCCCCTCTCTTGGGATCCTCCCACCAGTGATCTAATCCCTGGTGCTCTCCTAAAAGCCCGAGGTTTTGTGTTAGAGAGGACAGGAGTTTCTGACAAGGCCTGGGAGGTGACATGCCCTCTGGTGCCCACAGAACAGTCTGCCTGAGGCCTTTCGGATCAAATTGGAATTGGATGGTGAGAGTCATATCCTGGAGCTGCTACTGAATAGGTAATGACAGTGGTGGTGGTGATGACAACATGGCTAACAACTTATATAACATGTGCTCCTTGCCAGGTACTTGAACTCACTTAATACTAACAATGACCCTGCAAGGTAGCTACTATTATATATTATTACTGTCCTTATCTATATGAAGACATCAAGACACAGAGAGGCTAAAAAACTCACCCAAAGTCCCACACTAGTGTGTGGTCAAAACCAGATGGGACCCAGGTAACTTGGAGGTTTCTGGCTTGAGCACTACGTATAGCTGTCTCTGGAAGCAGGAAGGTTGGGGTGTGTCCTGATCCAAGACACCCTTCTACCACCTCCAGGCCTCAGCCCATCCTGCCACCCTGTGGGCAGCTGAAACTGCTCTACTTGTTCTTCATCCCACAGGGACCTCGTCCCAGGCCGCCCATCCCTGGTGTGGTACCAGCCTGATGGCACCCGAGTGGTCAGTGAAGGGCACACGCTGGTGAGTCAGGCCCTTCTGTGCTGAGCTTCTGGCCTGAGGGAAGCAGGGAGGGAGTAACTGGAGGATGCCATCCCCAGGTGTGGGAGGGCACTGCATCTCTTTCCTAGCAGGCTACAGCCCTGGGTTCAAATCCTGATCTACCCTTTAAATTGGCACTGATGTTTCTCTGCCATAGGAGAACTGCTGCTACCGGGGCAGGGTGCAGGGCCATGCAGATTCCTGGGCCTCCATCTGTACCTGCTCTGGGCTCAGGTACAGGCACAGATTCCATAAAGGTGGGGAGAGCGAGGGTGCATGAACTGAAAAGGGTTTTGACTTTCTGTATCTTTCCTAGGGGTTTGGTGATGCTGTCCCCAGAAAGAGGCTATGCTCTAGAGCTAGGGTCTGGGGACCTTCAAAGTCGTCCCACCATCTCCCGGGTCCAAGACCTCCTCCTGCCAGGCCACTCGTGTGCCCTGAACAGGCGTGCGCGTGCACCTGCTCAAGCCCAGCCCTGGCGCCCCGCGGGACCTCGCCGAGTTCACCGGGTGAGGATGGACAGCAGGAGAGCTGGGCTGTAGCCGGCTGGCAGGCCACCCCTCAGACTCTCAGAGCTGTTTGCGTGCGCACAGAATCCCAGCTCCTACTCATGGAGCACCTCCATGGAAATGTTCGCCAAGGTCACACAGCTAGTGTGTGGCAAAAACCAGATGGAACCCGGAACTTTGCGGCTTGAGCACTCTGCTTAGCTGCCTCTGGGAGAGGATGGTTCGGGTGTGGCCTGATCCCAGACACCCCTCCACCACCTCCAGGCCTCAGCCCATCACTCTGCCACCCTAGGGGCAGCTGAACACTATCTCTACTCTTCCCAGCACTCAGGATGTAGATGCTCTCAATAGCTCTATTTTTTTTTTATTACAAAAGTTTATTTGTACATCATTTTGTACATTTTTCCCCCATCTCGATTGTAATCCCCACGGGTTTCCCATCACCAAATCACCCGTGTGCCATCACCATAATCCCATGCATTTCTTTCTCCCCCCGCCCCCCGTTTTTGATCCCATTCCCCACTCCACCCCCACAAAATGTCTCTGGTATATGGTTGTTCATTATTTTTGTTATTTTCTCGCCTGGTCCATTATACTCCTGCTTCAATAGCTCTATTTTTAAGTGAGAAAACAAGCTCAGAGAAGTTAAATAACTTGCCTGAAGTCATTCAGCTAATAAAGATATATCCACATTTTTTTTAAAGATTTATTTATATATGCATACAAGAACTGGGGTACAGGCCAGAAGTGGGAGGTGAGAGGATTCACCAGAGATGGTGGGGGAGAACAGAACAGACAGATCTACTGAAATACACTGCTGAGGGCAGCAGTGGCGAGACAGGAGAGGTCTGCGGGCGCCGTGTGGGTTACTCCCTGCCATTAACCTGTACTGCAGTGGCTCTGGACAGCCTCGCAGCGCTGCGATTTAACCCCATGCACCACCAGGGAGGCCCCTATGTCCATAATTTAAATGTGGATGCTTGATACAAATTCCTCATCTATCTATGACCACAGATACAGAGCTCTCACTTAGGTATAAAAATAGTTACCAATCATAAAGGCACAAAAACCTAATTTATAAAATGAGGATAATGAAAGTGCTGACTTACAGTGTAGCTGTGAAGATCATAAATGAATCAGCGTGTAAAGTACTTATATCTGTATCTGATACATGGTACGTGTCTGATGGTGTTGATTATTATTATTACCTTTTAAATTTTGGAAGAGAAGCACTGAATTTGGAGCCAGAAAAGCAGGGCTCAGTTCCCAGCTTTGTTACTACTTCTTGGTCCAGTGTGGACAGGCCTCCCAGGTTCTCAGTCTGTATAAGGGTTCTTCACTCCCTGCTTGGCCAGAGGGCTGGGCATGGACGCAGCGTGGCCAGCCCTCTCTGGCTGCTGGCAGGAGACGGTAGGGTGCCTGTTGCTCGTTCTTGTCCACAGTGGAGGCGGGATGTGGTGACAGAGACCAAGATCGTCGAGCTGGTGATTGTGGCTGATCATTCTGAGGTGAACTTGCTGGCCCCTGTGTGTGTCCCCCTAACCCCTGCTTGCCCTGCTGCCTCTCATGGTCCCCTTCTCTTGATCCACAGGTCCAGAGGTACCCAGATTTCCAGCACCTGCTGAACCGAACGCTGGAAGTGGCTCTCCTCCTGGACACGGTAGTGGGTGGGGCAGCTCCCGTACGTCCCCTGTCCGTGGGTACCCTTCTTCTGAGCCCCACTTTGCATTCAGTTCTTCCAGCCCCTGAATGTGCGGGTGGCACTAGTGGGCCTGGAGGCTTGGACCCAGCGTGACCTGGTGGAGATAAGCCTGGACCCAGGGGTCACACTAGACAACTTTCTCCGCTGGCGAAGAACAGACTTGCTGTCTCGACTGCCCCACGACAGTGCCCAGCTGGTGACGTAAGGCCCCATGCTCAGCCAGCAGCCCCACTCTGCCCCTTCCTGGCAAAATTCCATACCCTTACACCTCCCTGCCATGGGCCCTGAAGCCTTGGCCACCTTGGCTTTTGGCCTTGACTTTCCACCTCTGGATCCCACAGTGCTACTGCTTTCTCCGGGCCTGCAGTGGGCATGGCCATTCAGAACTCCATCTGTTCTCCCGACTTCTCAGGAGGGGTAAACATGGTAAGCTACTTCCAGGTCTCTTCCTTGCTCCCAACACAGTTCTTCCCCCATGGTACCGTTTATTCACTGAACCCCCTACAAAGTTACCCAGTCCCAAAGCTGTGAGGCTGTTGGGTGGTGTGGCCCTACCACCAGGGCCCTCACCAGGACTGGGGACCAGTGTATGGCCCACCTGGGAGGTCATTCCATCTCTCTAGGGAGGGGTAGGCAGCTGACGCCCCAAGAGCAGACGTCATCTCCCAAGGTCACTGAGTGAGGAGATGGGGTGGGGGCAAGGCTGACCACAACTCAGGCTTCCTGCCACCCAGGCCTGGGCTCGGTTCCTGCTGTAGAAGCAATCAAAGAAGAAGGCAGCAACTGCCCAGAAGGCCAGATGAGGAGAGAACAGCCGTCGGGCTGGTGCTGGGCCTGAGGTATCCTCTCCCCAATGACAGGACCACTCCACCAGCATCCTGGGAGTCGCCTCCTCCATAGCCCATGAGCTGGGCCACAGCCTGGGCCTGGACCACGACTCACCTGGGAACAGTTGCCCCTGTCCAGGTCCAGCCCCAGCCAAGAGCTGCATCATGGAAGCCTCCACAGAGTGAGTGTTTGCAGGACACGGAAGGGGAAGGGGCAGCAGTAAGGTGTGGCCTCAGCTCCAACTTTCTCTGCTGCCCTCCCCAGCTTCTTGCCAGGCCTGAATTTCAGCAACTGCAGTCGACAGGCCCTGGAGAAAGCCCTCCTGGCTGGGATGGGCAGCTGCCTCTTTGAACGGCTGTCCAGTCTGTCCTCTATTGCCAGCGTCTGTGGAAATATGTTTGTGGAGCCGGGCGAACAATGTGACTGTGGCTTCCCAGATGTGAGCCCCTCAACCCAAGCTTTGCCACACTGACTTCTGTGCCCCCATTAGCCCCCTCCGAGCCTCTTATTGTAAGGACCGCTCAGCCCTCCTCACCTCCCTGCAGTCAGAACAACAGTGGGTTGTTGAACTGTGCTGTTACCTGTGTGGCTGTGGGCACCCTGGGGCTTGGGCTCTGGGAGGCTCTGAGGCCCCATCTGCTCTGATCTGCCCCCTTGGTGCCCCTGCCCATAGGACTGCACTGACCCCTGCTGTGACTACTCTACCTGCCAGCTAAGGCTTGGGGCCCAGTGTGCATCCGACGGACCCTGTTGTCAAAATTGCCAGGTGGGCACAGACGCAGAGCTCACCTGCTAGGAGCGAGGGAGGGAAGGGTCACTGTGACTGGCTGGGCCTGGCTGGGTTTGCCCGGCACTCACGCTTATGCTCACCCACCCTCCACAGCTGCGCCCAGCTGGCTGGCAGTGCCGCCCCACCAGAGGTGACTGTGACTTGCCCGAGTTCTGCCCAGGGAACAGCTCCCAGTGTCCTCCAGATGTCAGCCTGGGGGACGGCGAGCCGTGTGGTGACGGAAAGGCTGTGTGCATGCAAGGGCGTTGCACCTCCTATGCCCAGCAGTGCCAGGCTCTCTGGGGTCCTGGGGCCCAGCCCGCCACACCACTTTGCCTCCATGCTGCCAATACGCGGGGGGATCCCTTTGGGAGCTGTGGGCGCAGCCCTAATGGCAGCTACATGTCCTGTGCCCCTGGGTAAGCAAGGAATCCTAACCCCTCCCCTGGGTCTGTGGGAGCCTCAGCCCCACTCCCACTCACCTTGGGCCTCCTTACCTTATTCCAGAGATGTCATTTGTGGGCAGCTCCAGTGCCAAGGGGGCAGGGCCCAGCCTCTGCTGGGCTCAGCCCGGACCCTGCTCTGGGAGACACTGGAAGCCAACGGGACCCGGCTAAACTGCAGCCTGGTACACCTGGACCTGGGCAATGACGTGGCCCAGCCGCTCCTGGCGCTGCCCGGCACAGCCTGTGGCCCTGGCATGGTGAGCAGCCTGGGGGGATCAGGCCCATGGGGAAGTTTACCTGGACCCCGGCAGACAGTGCCCAGGCCTCACGACCCCGCAGTGTAAAGGCAGAGACTCCGAGGCGAGCTCAGAGCTTACATCAGATTGACCCAAGTCCTGTCACCCTGGGAGTCTGGCTTCCCCTTCTGTAAAAGCGCCAGCAGAGCTCTGTGGAAATGTGACTTTGCTCTTCCGTCCCTGTTGGGCAGGTGTGCATAAACCACCAGTGCCAACCTGAGGACCTCCTGGGAGCACAAGAATGTCGGAGCAGGTGCCATGGGCATGGGGTAAGCTGGCATGGCGGAGATGGATGGGGAGCAGGGGCCTCCAGGGAGGGAAGGACGGGGAGCTTTAGAAGCAGTCATATCTGGCCTCTCATCTCTGCTCCACCACTTCCTAGGGGTGAGACAGCTCAGTCCCATCTATCTGGTGGGCGTGGTCCTAGTCGCCACCTCCTGGGGGAGGTGCAAAAGCACCCCACAGAGTGACTGCACAGGGGTGCTCAGCTTTAGCTCAGTCCAATTCCCTCCCGGGTGAGAGTCCCTCTCTCCAGAGCGCGCTCTTTCCACCCCTCTGGCCCTGCACATCTTCCAGTTGTGCACCTCTAGATCTGGAAAAGTTAGGGACAGGGAAATGGGGCCCCGGAGTTCAGGGTCTCTATGCTCACCCCCACTTCCCAGGTCTGTGACAGCAACGGGCACTGCCGCTGTGAGGCAGGCTGGGCACCCCCGAACTGCGCCACGCAGAGCAGAGGTAGCGTGGGGCGGGCAGGGCTGCTGGGAGCAAGAAGGCTTAGCCTTTTCCTCCCCCCCTTTTCTGACCCCTCTTTTTGTTGCTTCCTGGTTCTCTGTGACCCCTGACCCCTTCACTTTCTCCCTGTGACCGCTTCCCTGGGTGTGGCTCTTAGCCCTGTTAACCTTCAAACCATCCTTCACCTGCAGCGACAGGCTCCCTGATCACAGGGCTGCTCCTCAGCCTCCTGTTGTTGCTGGTCCTGGTGCTGCTTGGTGCCAGCTACTGGCACCGTGCCCGCCTGCGCCAGCGGCTCTGCCAGCTCAAGGGACCCAGCTGCCAGTACAGGTACCAGTCTCCCTGCTACCAGCTCCCTCCACAGCTGCGCAGAGGGCAGACCTGAAGCCCTGTCCCCGCCACCTCCTGCCACCTGGACCTGACCCCACAGCCCACTTGCCTCCTTCCCCTGCATGCCATGCGGGGCAGCCCTCATACAGACCATGCGGGGCAGCCGGGTCCTCACCCCTGATTTGACCAAAACAATACACAGGCTCACCCCAATTCACCTGACTTGAGTCATGTGTGGGTAGAAAACAGGGTCTGAGGCTGGACCCTCTCCCTCCTTGCCTTTCTCAGAGCAGCCCAGCCTGGTCCCCCTGAACGCCCAGGACCCCCGCAGAGGGCCTTGCTGATGCCAGGTGCCAAGGTGAGTCCAGGATGCCAGTGGGGAGAGGGGCCCCTTTGGCCAGGCATGCAGCTTGGGCCCTGGGGGCTGGGGTGGGGTACTGACAACTCTAGATTTATCGTGCCCAAAAGTCAACCAAAGAAGTGAGGGCCAGATCCCCTCCCCGGCTACAGGAGAGAAGCAGAGCACAGCCGGCCCGGAGTGGGGAGGGCAGTCACCTAGAGGAGGGTCTGCTGAGCTCTCTGAGCTGGCCAAGCTGCTGGCTTTGAGAGGTGGGTCTCCCAGTGCCCTGGGCGGTGGATCCTCAGTGCAAGGGGTGGCGGCACTCAGAACGGCCTTCAGTGTACTAGGACCCGAAGACACCAGGTGGCCATGTGCAGAAAGGCTGGTGAGTGCCGCTGCCCGAGCCCGCTGGGTCTCATGACAGGAGGATGTGTACGCCCCTGCACCACTTTTCACCCTTCTGCATGTGAATGAATAACCATGCCCCCACTGCCCCCCACTGTCCCCCACTGCCCCTGGGCCTAGCTGCCCCCCCTTGGGCACTAACCCCTCTCTGCCCACACCTGTCTTTCTGCTCCCCCTCCCCTGTGCTGTCTGCTCCTCCTGCTCTCTTAGCAGGCTAGTGTTCTTGGCTTTCCGGCTCCCCCCTCCAGGCCGCTGCCTCCTGACCCTGTGCCCAAGAGACTCCAGGTAAATCTGGGCCAGGCCCACCCTGGCCCATGGCAGGTGGGAGGCTTGGTGCCCAGCTGCAGAGATCTTATCCCTGTTCCCTGCCAGCGGTGCATTCATTAGGGGACCTGGGTGCTTCACAGCCTTCAGACACTCTGAGCCCCAGAAGCAGCAAAGGGTGAGCCTCCTGCCTTGGTGTCTACCGCCATCTGGTGGTCAGTGGCAGGATTGCAGCTGGCCAGGGACACCACAATGACCCACACCTTCCTCCCCCAGACATCTTGCTGGCATGCACCCAAGACTTTAGTGCACGTCCCCATTCTTTCCAGTCCTCTGGCTGACTTTGCATGTTGACCTAAACCCCTAGGGAAAATCTCTGCATGCCCACCACCCCTGGCTGTGCTCTCACCAGCCACTGCTCCTCTCTCTGTTCAGGCTGAGTTGGCTGATCGACCCAATCCCCCCACCCGCCCTCTGCCCGCTGACCCGGTGGTGAGGCGCCCAAAGGTAACAGTGGGGGTAGAAAAGGGCACAGCCTCTTCCCCCACCCAGGGCTGTGTGGCCTGTGGCAGTTGTGGCAAGATGTCCTCTGTGCCTGAGGTGGATTCTTTAATGGTGACAGGTCTGTTTAGAGACAAAGCTGGTCTATGGTGCCGCCCCGCACGCTGGTGTTCCCCAGCACCAGTGCGACAGGGTTGGGCAACATGACATCTCCTCCCAAACTGGCCTTCTCTCTCAGTCTCAGGGGCCTGCCAAGCCCCCACTCCCCAGGAAGCCACTGCCTGCTGACCCCCAGGGCCGGCGCCCTTCGGGTGACCTACCTATTTCAGGAGCTGGAATCCCACCCCCAGTGGTACCTTCTAGGTAGGCAAACCGGACACTGAGAATGGGTGGGTGAGAATGGGTGGGTAAGGCAAGTGGTCCCAGAAAGGCAGACCTCGACTTTTGTCTCCCCAAACCAGACCTGCACCTCCGCCCCCAACTGCATCTTCGCTCTACCTCTGACCACTCCTGAGGCTCTGCTGCCTAGGTCTTCAAGAGGCCGACCAACCCCCTAAAACCCCCCTCAAAGACTGAAGGAGTTGGAGCATGGACTGGGTGCAGGCGTCTGAAGACACCAGCACCTGCGGGAGCTGTGGAGCGGCACCCTGGATACCTGCCCACGCTGTTGCTGCCGGGGATTGGGGAGGCCTGGGTTTTAGAAGGGACTGGGGAGTTGTGCACAGCTGTCTCTGTTCGGTTGCAATAAACCTGAGATCTGGGGAGTACGCCTCCTATTTGGCTCTTTGAAGGTCGGGTCGCCCCTATTGCAGTTCCAGGCCTGGCCGCCAGGAGACACTGCCGCCTCAGACATAGACTGGAGAGGGAAGGCACACGTCCAGGCTGGGTCAGCGTGTGTCCCAGGGTGGCTCGAGGCTAGTTCCTGCCCCGTCTGAGATGGCTCTCGGCGCAGTCCGGTACCACAAGGAGTCAGCTGTATGCCCTTTACCATCTTTAGTCGCCAAACCCTCACCCAGTGCTACCCGACCTCTGGGGGCGGCTCTGGACAAACCGGACAAACCAAAGGACCCGGCATCCCCACCCTCTGACCAGTGGCTGGGAAAAGTGGATCTGGCTCGTGTTCTCAGGCTACGGAGCCAGGGCGGAGTAGGGCGCGGCTCTCAAGATCCCATGGCCGAGCACCTGCCTCCTCCCCCCTCCTCACGCCCCCACCTGAGGGCTCAAGAACAAAGGTGCTTTGTACAAGGCCGCAAGCACCTCATTACATTTTTTTTTTTTTTTTGAGATTGGGGCAGTGTGTGCCCCCAGCCCAGAACTAAGGTGTGGGGCAGAAAGGTGCCCCAGGTGGACATCGAACTCGCCACTTAAGGCTCTGCAGTGCCTTAGGTGAGGTGGGCGGGGGAGGCAGGAGGTGATCTGTGCCTTCCCGTCTCTCTGTCCCTAGATGTACAAAGAAAAAGGAGGCTGGACAGTGTTTGCTGATCCTCTCCAGTGCCTCAATTCTGGTCAAAGGGCGTGTGTCCCAACTTAAATCTTCCAAACTTCTAGTAAGACTTTCTACCCAGTACTAAAGCAGACACTGAAGACAAGGTCGCCCTAAACACACGTAGGTGGTGGAACTCGTGCCTCGTCCCCACCGCCTCGCGAGCTGGGCGCGCCTCCTCAGGAGCCTGGCTGACCGGCGCACGCTAGCGGCACGCAGAGGGTTAACGAGAGTTGGTTCTGAGTGGAGAGGCGGAGTCGCGCGTCTATTGGTGGAAAGTTATTCGGAGGCGTGACCTTGAGTCTCCGCGCCCCACCCCCTTCCCGCAACCCGCCCCCCCACCTCCACTTTGTACCTTTCTCGCTGCCACTGCGAAGCGGGCCGGGACCGGCCGGACCAGACCGGACCGGACCCCGGGGGCGATGCGGCTGTTGCCGCTGCTGCGGACTGTCCTCTGGGCCGCGCTCCTCGGCTCTCCTCTGCGAGGAGGCTCCGGCCTCCGCCACCCCGTCTACTGGAACTCCAGTAACCCCAGGTAGCCGGGCCGAACCCGGCGAGCGGCCAGCCGGGCCTGCGCGCTCCTGGGCCGGGCGCGCGCCCAATACTCGCTCAGAGCGCGGCGTCGCCTGGGCCCGACCGCGCGCCGGGGCTCCTTTGTTTGAGTCCGCGGGGGAGGGGGGAGGGGGAGGGGCGAGGCACGCCCTGGGTCTCCCCCACCGCCCGCACTTGCTGGGGGGCGGGCGGTGAGCCCCAGCCCCGAGGGCGGTCGGTGGAGTCTCAGAACCCGGTACTGGGGGCCCTCGGCCTGCTCTTCGAGCCCCGCCCCCTCGCTTCTCCCGACTGATCCCCAGCCTCCCTTCGGCCTGATCGGCGGCGGCGGACTTGAGAAGGGGAGAGGGCTGTTCTCTTGAGAAAGCGTGGGTTACTCTCCTGCTTGCTGCCCCCCTCTCTGACGCAAGCTCTGTCTCCTAACTCCTTCGGTATCTCTGCTTCCTTCTCGGTCTTGAGCAGCCCTTCTATTTCTGTCCAGTCTCAGCCATGTCTTTGTTAGCAGCTCTGAGCAAGCCGTTTGACCTTCCTGACCTCAGTTATCTCATCTGTAAAATGGGCCGCTAATACCCAGTATGCTGGGAAACCAGGCGGGCTGACTGAGGTCATGTGTGAAAGAGTTGCAGGCTGTACAAACATAAGCTATTATTTCTTTCCCTCGCTTCACTTGCCTGCCTTTGAACCTGGTATTTTTTACTGATTCCATCCGCCTTCCCAGTTCTCCCTGCCTCTCTTTGCTTTCTCCATCTGTTTTCCTTTCTGATTTTCTCCTCGAGACAATCTGTGACTGCCCATTTGTTCACTCACTCACATTTATTAAGCTTGTGCTGTGTGTTCGACCTGTGCTAGGGTGCTGGGGATTCCAGAGATAGAAATCTAGACTCTGCCCTCTGGGAGCTCAAGACCCCTAGGAGGGCAAGCGTCAGGACAGGTCATTACAATACCAATGCTGTGTAATAAGAGCTATTGTTATTCTCCAACTCCGAATTCCTTTCTCTGTTCCAGACCAGTGCCTCTGAATCACTTGGAGGACTCGTAAAAATTCAGGTTTCTACCCCCAACCCTAAGGTTTCTGTTCCATTCATTCAATCCACAAATATTTATTGAGCACTTTCCTTGCACAGGCACTTTTCCAGGCACTAGTGACGCTGTGGAACAACACTATAACATACAAAGGCTTCTAGGAGCTCTGAGCTGAGCCCCAGAATCTGCATTTCTAATCAGAACTCCTGAAGCAGGTGGTCCTGGGACCACCCATTGAGGAATAGTCGCCATTGAGGAATAGTCGCCATTGAGGAATAGTCAGAGGCCTTTCATAAGTCATGCAGGCTGTGTGTGTGGTGAGGAGGGGAAAGTGAAGCTGACTGTACTTGATGCTGTGGAGGCTGCCTGTCCCAGTCCAGCTGCCTGTCCTGGGCCCTCCCCCCTAACACACACAGGTGGTTCTCAAAAGGTGGGGAAGGAGATCCTGGGGAGACTACAGAGTGAGTGGAGGGGACTTCCTTGTCCTGGGAGGGAGGAAAGGGAGCACCCAGCATGAACCCCCTCATTTTTTTCTTTATCATGGTGATCTTTTCGGCATTGGCTTGAGGTCTAAAGGGCAGGTTTTCTTCTTCCTGCTTCTGCTAATGAGGATACTGTTCCAAGTCCCAACTCTGCACCTGTACCTGCACTGTGGGCCCAGGTTTGGGCCGCTTGACTCTCTTTTCCAGCTTCTTCTACGTAACCATTCACCTAACATTTATCTGGCACAGGTTTGTGCCAAGCCCTGTGTCAGGCACTGGGCTAGGGTGGGTGGCAGCTACCATTCAAAAGGTAGGGTATGCCCTTCTCCTTTCTGAGCCACGTGGTTGTAGGCATGCAATGCCTCAGTCTCCAAACCTGTCAGTTGGTTATCTTTTCTATTCCTTGTACTCTGCTTCTCAAAAAAAAAATTGTCAGTGTAGCAGGGTCAGGCTGAGCTACCATTTCACCAGTGGGTGGGGGAAAAGCCTCACACGGACCCCATGGGAAGGGCTGTCTCTGACCCTCACTCCTGAGTGTGCTATGCCATAACCCTTCAACCCACGCCTACTTCACTGCAGGCTGCTTCGAGGAGACGCTGTGGTGGAGCTTGGCCTCAACGATTACCTAGACATCTTCTGCCCGCACTATGAAGGGCCAGGGCCCCCTGAGGGCCCTGAGACATTTACCTTATACATGGTGGACCGGCGCGGCTATGAGACCTGCCAGGCCCAGGGCCCAGGTGCCTTCAAGCGCTGGAGGTGCTCCCTTCCCTTCGCTCCCTTGGGCCCCGTTCGGTTCTCAGAGAAGATTCAGCGCTTCACCCCCTTCTCCCTTGGCTTCGAGTTCTTGCCTGGAGAAACCTACTACTACATCTGTGAGTGAGGAAGGGCACACTGGTCAGCTCTTGGGGATGGTGGGGAGAGGAGGAGGCGCCCTGTCATTGCCAGCTGCCAAGGCAGAGAGCCTGAGGTGAGAGGGAAGGAGAAGATTGGGAAAGCAGGCCAGGCTTGGGGGGCCGGGGGAGGTGACACTGACAGGTGCCATCTAGCGTGAGGCTGTTGAGAGGAAGAGACTGCAAAAGGAATTGGGAATGGGATGACAGGAGATGGGGGAGGGGGAACCAAGGAGGGACATGATGGGGCCTGGCACCTAGGTGTGGCCCAAAAGGAAGGAGAACTGGAAGAGAAGAGCAGCTGGAGAGTCTGAAGCAGTCTGGGGTGGACAGACTAGCCTGTGCTAATTTCTTCCTCCCAATTTCCCACCACCCAGCGGTACCAAGTCCGGAAAGTTCTGGCCAGTGCTTGAGGCTCCAGGTGTTTGTCTGCTGCAAGGAGAGCAGTAAGTGGGCTTGGGCACAGGGAGCAGCCCCTCTGGCTCCCATAGGGCCCTGGGCATGTGGGGAGGAGGGGGGAGAGCTGGGGGGCTGTAAGCTGTGGCCTCTTCTCCCTTATTTAGCCTTAGGATAGCCTTTGCCACACCCTTTTATGCTGGGCCAAGGGAATAGCATCTCCAAGGGCAAGGACCTTCAAGATCTTAGCTGAGCTGGTCGTCTGTGGTGACAGTTTCGAGGGACACTGGAGTTGGGCTCAGGGAAGACAAAGTTGTACCTCGTGGGAGTGGCTGGTTTGGGCAACAGTAGAGAATGGGAGTGAATAGCTAATGGGGAAGCTGCTGAAGTGGGGGCACCCATCCATGCTACCCTTCCCCCTCGCAGGGTCTGAGTCCGCCCATCCTGTCGGGAGCCCTGGAGAGAGTGGCACTTCTGGGTGGCAAGGGGGGGGCACTCCTAGCCCCCTCTGTCTCTTGCTGCTGCTGCTGCTCCCAATCCTGCGTCTCCTGCGAGTTCTCTGAGCCAAGCAGACCCTCCCTGCCTCCCCCAGGAGCCAGAGCCTCCCAAGACTCTGCAGCAGGGGCCTCAGCCACCTGAGCTGGGAGTGCCAAAAAAAGCCAGCCAGACAAGTGGAAGAGAGGGGGAGGTCAGAGGGTCCGAGGTGACTCTAAAGTGCCAGACCCCTCATCACTGGCTGAAGAGGAGAACAGGGAAGCTGTAGACAGCCCTGGGCATCCTGGAGCCGAGTCAAGACCAACATAGGGTCTCTGTCAGCTGCTTTGATGGTCTCATCCCATCCCCCAGGAGGACTGTGATTTGTGGGATCGCACCCTTGAGCCTGCTGGGGCCCAAGGCTGAAGACCTGGGACAGGTGGATTGCCAGACCCAGGCCAGGCTAGCCATCTGTGCCCAGTGCCTTGTGGCCCTCTCCCCTGGGGCAGCACCTTTCCCTCCCCAGGAGGTCACTCTCTTGTCTTCTGTGAAGACGGATCCGCCATAAGTTTGAATTTCATGTCAGTTTGTATTTTTATAAGTGTGTGGACCAAACCCTCAATAAACCACCCATCTTTTTGTTGCTCTCCCCCACCTACTGCCCTCCGGCTCCTTCCCTGACACTAACACTCCCTGCAACCTGTGCTCACAGCCAGACTTGGCCTGACCTCCACGCCAGCTGTGTCCAGGCCATCCATGCCAGGCCTCAGTGGGCACCCCTCTGGGCAGCGTGGGGTGGTGCCAGCAACAGCTGTGGAGCTTGGCACTCTTTTCCACATCCCTAGCTGGCTTCCTGTAACCAAGAGGGGGCAGATGCTCCTGACTGCCTATTCGCCTGGGGCACTGCCCCCGCTCTGGGAGCCCTAAGCTGGGCATTGGGGGCAAAGCAAGGGGTAGCAGAAAGACTACACCTGCATTTCATGGTGCCTGGGTCCCTGAAAGCAAGGCTTCCCTCCACCTCGCCTAGGGCACTCTGGGCGGCGGCTGGCCTAGAACTGGGGAGGTGGGGTCAGATCAAAGCCTCCTTCCCCAGCGGCCTCTTTGTTCTTAGCTTTTATAAGGAGGAGGGGTGGGGCCAAGGAGGGAGGGTCCCCTTGCTCCCAGCCCCACTCAGTCTCTCCCACCTCTGGCAGGCTAGCTTATGACTTCCCCATGTCCCACCGGGATCCTGTTTTTGAAAGGTGTCCTGAGTGGAGACAGGGTAAGGGGTGCCCCTTCCCCGGAAGCTACACCCTGCCCACACCCGTGCCCCGCAGCTTCCACTGGCACAGAGCCGGCCCGTCTGGCTCGGGTCCAACGATCGATAGGTGGATGTTGTGCTGATTAGCTCGGCCGGCTGCGGCAGCGAAAGGCAGCGTGTGAACACTAGGCAGGGGGAGGGGGGTAGGGGGAGGACACAGGGGGTCCTGAGACTGACAGACACCGAGATGGTGGAGATGTAAGCCCCTCCCCCATCCACACCCAAGTCAGACCCTGATCCCTCACTTAGTTCATTGCTCTGACTGGAGTCGGTGGAGGAAAGCACTGTGGGTGGAGCAGACGCAAGCCCACCCTGTCTCCCACTTGCAGCCACTTTCTACAAATACGGTGTCTGTAGTGGGTGTGTTTGTGTTCCTGTCAAGCCCTCACCCCAAGCCACGATCCTCAGCTGAGACGTGGAGGGGATGGACTCTGAGTGAAGGATGAGCTGGATGGGTTTGGTCTCCTAGTCCTGGGTTCCAGTCTGCTGTGATCCAGGAGGGTGTCTGCATGTCGCCTTGGAAACCCATTGTATTGCTACCTCCGCCCCTCTTGAGTGAAACAATGGGCGGGACAGGCAGGGACGATTGGTTAGGAGAACCTTGCCCTACACTGAGGGCTGTGGAGGGTCCCACACTGCTCCCAGAGGCCCCAGACACCCCCCATCATAGAAGACCCAGCGGCCGCGCTCGCTCCCGAGTCGGGCTGGCTCCCGAGTCGGGCTGGCTCCCGAGTCTGGCTGGCGCGGATCCGCCGCTGATAACGCATGTGCCAAAGAACACCGGGCCAGTTGGCTTCGCAGCACTGGGTCGCTCGCCCTCTTAGTCGCGCACGCTCTACACAGACACACACCCTCGCTACCACCCAGCTCCCTGCAGGTTCGAGGGCAGACACCTGAGCTACTGCAGATTTGCGCAGGGGGGTCGAAAACGGGCCCAGTCGCTTCAAGCCTCAAACCCAGCCACAGTTCCCGACACTCGCCACTCGCTTCCAAACCCAGCCACCGTTCCCGACACTCGCCACTCGCTTCCAAACCCAGCCACCGTTCCCGACACTCGCCACTCGCTTCCTAATGGCCTTGACCCTGCTCAGACAGGAGATTCTGTCCCGGTGGGTGCCTGTTGAAAGCCAGGGCCAAGTCCACTCATGGGGCCAAGACCGGCCGCTGGGCCGTCTTCCCGAACTGGCCCAACCCGTGAGAAATCCTCGAGGCATATTCCGGGGCACCGTTCCAAGAGGTTAGGCAGGCCTGCAAGTTTTGGGGCGTCACCCATCTCCCCTAAACTCAGCAGCGCTAGGTGGCCGAGGGCGGGGCCCTCAATTGGCTGGGCCTGCCTTAGTCTAGGAACAGATGACTCTCCCTCATCTTTACCCACTGGATTTCACTGTTCGAGACACTCAGAACCCCAGTTTTTGATCCTGGTTCCTGATCCACACTTTCAGGGGCTGCATATCACCCTCTTTTCAGAGAAGCTAAACCCTGAAGTTTTTGTCTTTTTAGGTGGCTCCTCCTTTTTTTCTTCTTCCCCTTTTATTAATTCCTTAATTTTTTTTTCCTCCATTCATGTAGCAATTGTGAGCTCCAGGCACACCCTTCTTGCAGTTGACTACACCATCTGGGGTCATCAGGGGATCCCCAGTGGTGACAAAGTTCCAAAGAGCCAATAGAATCCTGGGGCCTGGGGCATGAGGTCATCATTGATGATGCCCATTGGTTCAGGTGTGAATGTCTGGGAGGGGGTGGCCCAGCAACCAACTCTGCATGCAGGGGTAACCTGGAGAGTGATCACAGTTTGAGCTGTTGCAGCAACTTGGGATGTAGACAGGGAGGCTGGGGTGGAGCTTAGCTTCCCCAGTCCTGCAGCCTAGCCCAACTAGGCTGTTGATCCTGATATCCTGTTTCTCACTCAAATGGTCAGTGTCTCTTAACCCGAAAAGCCTAGAAGGAGGGGAGTATTTGCTACAGCCTTGAGGTCCTGAATATGGGCTGCCTCCACCTGGAATGTTAATTCTGAGATCCTCGTGCTCATCTGCATATCATCTGCATCTCATTTGCATTCTCTTCATTTAAGGTCAAATTGGGCAGACATCTCCACATCCCCAGCCCTGTCGCTTGTCTGTATCCAGCAACCATCCCTTATTGGTTTTCTATTCTAACTCAGTTATCCAGTTCCTTTCCCCACCCCTTTTCCCAGCTTCCAGTATCTCCTAGGGGAGATACTGCCTGGCTAAAGGGGAGAAGATAAGAAGTCTAGTCTCTCCCTCTGGATATTTGGTGACAGATGGGGAGGGCTGGTCTGTACAGCCTGGAGACTAAATTGGCAAAGCAAATGGCAGGGTGGGGGGGGGGGGGGGGGAGGTGCCCAGGGCTGGGTTGAGGGTCTCCAGGGCCAAATCACCCACACGCCTGGCAGGGTGCTGGAACTAGGGAGGCCTGCTTCCAGCAAGGGGCAGGCCTGCCCACCTGTCTGGTGCCAGCACAGCTTCCTTCCTCCAATTAAACACTAATGAGGTGTCATTAACCCTTACCTTGCCCGCCAGCCCTCAGGTGGAACTCAAATTCATGGTCTCACTCTGAGGGTAAAGGGAGAAGGGAGGGCTTTGAGGAAGCTGAGAGGCAGGAAGGTCAGAGGATCAGGAGACAGGTGAGAAGGCAGGGCAGGCAGTGTGAGGAGCAGACACTGATTGTCCTGTGCTTCTGAGGGGTTCTAGGCATGGGTGTCTCACTGTCAAAATGCATTATTCTCCTGTTCATCAATTTAACAATTATTTAGTAAACACCTCGTCTACTCCTCCTGCCTAAATACCAGCCTGTGTGCTAGTGCTGGGGGTATACACTTGCATAAGACAAGATCCTTTCCCTTAAGGACTCTTCAGATTACTTGAGAGGACAAACTGGCCAACACATAATTATAATGCCAAGTGCAAATGCTATTATAGAATTGTGCACAAATGCTAAGGGAACACAGGGAAAATGGGCTGTTCTGAGAAGGATTGGTTTTGAAGGACAACATTTATGGAAGGGGAAAGATGCAACTAACAATGCTCATGTGTCTGATTCAGGGTGGGTCATAGCTGTGTTTTCAGAACACTGCGGTCTGCCCTCCCTGAGCAGTGTGTTTGGCATCTGTGTGTCTGTGTGTGAGTGTGTATGTGTGTTGTCTGGATCTCTCTGTGTCTGGAATCCCTTCTCCTGAACACACATTGTGGTTTTATTACAGATCAATGTTTGCTGTGAAGCTCTTGCACAGATTAGCCTGAACCTGCCCAGCCCAGGGGAGGGGAAGTGGAGAACTGATGTTGGCTCTTTGGGAAGGGGTGGGCAGGTACCATCTTCGCACCTGGAGGCACAGACCCTTGGCTCCCCAAGTAGCAGCAGGTTGGCCAAGGGAGGTAAAGGGCTGGGCCTCAGGCTATAGTAAGCTGTGCCTAGGATGGCCCCCTCTGGCTTTGGCTCCCCAAAGGAAACATGGGGGCTCCAGTCACCACTCCCTATCAAGATCACCCCCCTCCCCCAGCCTGTTCTTCTCCAGGCTGCAGAGGAGCAGGCTGGCTCAGACCTGTCTGCTGGCTCTCTCCCGAGGGAGCTGATCCTTTCCAGGGGACAGGAGGGCTGGGGAATGCTGGCGCTTACTGGGAGGCCCGGGGTACTCCACCCTAGCCCTCTGCTGCTCCAGTCTGGATTCTCCCCACCCACTCTTAGTTGCCACTTCTCTGGGTTTTGCCCAGGCATAGCCATCCTTGCAGGGAGCTCCTTCATTAATGCTGGCTAGAGGGTGGGGGCCAGAACTCCAGTATCCAGGACTGGGGAGGGGAGGTGGATGTGAGGTTTTCAGAGACCACGCCCCCAGTTCCTTCCATTTCCATGCAGTCACTGACTTAGAAAACTAAAGTTTTCCTAGTTCTAGCGAAGTTCTAGAGGATAAAGAGGCTCTGTGGTCTAAGGAGGAGGTCAGGGACTCATTCCATCCACACTGTCAAGGACCGAATCGTCTTTTTTCATTCATAATTTCCCCTTCCCAGGATTTCATCTAAACTTTCCTGTCCAACCCCTACTCCCCCCAAAGCCCTATGTCACATCTCCCGTTGTGACAGCTGTTGAAGGTTGGACACCGGGGAGAAAACATGAAAAGGGGAGTCGGCCCAGTCTAGTGGGCAGAGCCAGATGATTGCCGTAGGTTCCTAGATACTGCTCAGGGATTCCTACACATGGATCTTAATCCTCACAATGTTCCACTGGGCAGAGGTGACCAATCACTTTACAGACAGAAAAGCAGTCTCAGAGAAGTGACCTGCACAGCCAGGGACGGTTAGGGCTGAAATTCAAACCCAAGCCCATCCTGTT